AAACATACATGTCCCAGGCACGAGGTGTCTACGGCTCTTCAGCCTTTGCAAAGAGCCAAATTTAAATAACTTTAATATTTTTAATAACTTAAATATTTTCGGTTGCAACAATTCAACATACCTATACAGTAAGTAAAAGTACAGTGAGAAATACTGTGAGTGTGCACATGTTAGGATGTGCAGATGTGCGGTTCCGTCACTCATGGCTAGATCACGTCCCGTACACTAAACGAGACGTATGAAATGTCATTCGCCGCGTCTCGTTCTCCTCATGTGGAATTGATAAATGGTTTTCGGAACCGGCCAGAAGACTCAAAGACATTTTCAAAAACGTATTTTTTCGTGTTTTAGTGCTGCGATCTTAGTGATAATATCAGGAACTAAATCAACGTCTCCTTAACATTTACATAAGTGTGTAAATACCAATTTTTAATTGAATATAACCCACAACTTATATTTATTCAACGTAACTAACACCTTATTCACATAAATATAAAAAACAGTCGTCTCTAAATGTTAGATTCGAATGCAACGCTAGGCAACGCTAGACAAAACGATTAATAGAGCAATTGAAGAAGTACACAACATTGAATTTGTAGAAAGTGCTAAGGAAATCCGGGGAAGAATCAAATGCATTTGTAAAAGACAGAATTTTTGGAACCAATTGGGAATGATCTGCATTTAATCTTTGTGCTAACGCAAAAATGGTATGTGCATTTTTGTGCATATTAAGAAAACAGCGAAAACCTCTAGCTATACTAAAATTTAACTATTAGCATCATCAAAATCTGCAAGTATTTGTTAAGGCTATAATTTTGAAATTGCAATATTACCTGTTTATTTCTGTATGGAGACAATATACCAGGCCAATGGGTGTTGGGAACTTGTGAACGTGAGTGTAACAATATTAGCTACTACGATTCATTTGTAAGTCCAAAGCCAGATACTGAAAGAACATATTTGAACAAAGCTTGGCATTAAAGAAATAATGTATGAAATAAATCTTCAACACATGAAACTTTTAAAACCAGTTTACAGCATCGGCGACGCCACATTTGACTAGATATTCGTAAGAAAAGAAAATGTACCAATTATATCATATTTCTTTTCAATATTCTAGTATAGCTTCTGGCCACAAGCAGTTATGCTGTCACAAGCAGAAGAAAGGGAGGCGAGAGGCGCGAATCCTCTTGCTGCGCGAAGCAGCTGCAGGGGCGTCGTAGAAAGGCGGCGCAGCGAGGGCAGTCACAGCGCCTGCGCAGTGGCAGCTGCGCTCGCGGCGTCGCGGCCTCCTGGACTGCGTTCGAGCCCGAGCGAAGAGCCGAGCGGCGAAAGGCGGCTGTGGTGATTGTGCCGCGCGCGTGCCAATGTCTTGATCGCACAGGTCGTGTGCCAGCTCCGTATGGCCGCTGATGCGTGTGGATGGAGGCCGCCCCCGGTGGGAACGAGGCGACTCACGGCCTAGTGGATTACTCGATTGCGGATGCGGAGGAATTGATTTGTGGCTGACGTGGCGGCGACATGAACCGGACGCCTCGCGAATGCTCATGAAGTAATTTCTGGATCACGGATCTAATTGTTACTTTTTTTTTACATTCTTTAGAAACAGAAGGAACACTTTGGAAAAACTACAACTAGACAATCGCAAATTTGCGGTCGTAAAATTCGCGTGGAAGATTCTTTTGTACTGTAACTTTGCACACACGTCTGAATTAAGGACAATTAGCGTTTTTCTGAAGGTGGTTAGAATTGGTGCAGATGCAGCGGAGATGAACGCAATTTTGTTCTCGAAAATCAGACTGTAGCTATGGGTGGATGTCTGCCTGCATAGATTAATGTGACACGCCAGATTAAAAGCTTTTGAGGAGATACTTGGTAAATATAGTAATAACGCTAAAAGGAGAAAACTTTTTGGTCTGCAATATCTATAGTTTTTAGTTTGTGATAACGCATGTCGATAGTAAACAACGGATGTAATTATCAAATGATCGCATCGGTACAATTTAGCCAATCCCACTTCAAATGCTTGTTGCAAGCATAGGTGGGAAAAATTAGTACGTTTTGGGTTATCAATGAAGGTGTCAAATCATGGTGTCTGACTATTGACACCGTATTTGACCTATCCATATGAAAATGTGCCCTTTTTAATATTAAACAACATTATTTTGATTCAAAAGAGGCTTAAGTTACTACGGCGGTTCACGACGTCCAGCGTCTGCGTGGCTTTTGACGTATTGGTGAAGTCCTATAATTATTCACGCTGTCGTCTTCACCTACATAAAAAATGTTGGTGAAGACGACATGCCTTATAATTACGAATGTTTACTCGTATTACCTAAATATCATTTGTTCTTCTAACCGTTGCTTCCTTGTTTGTTTGCTTGCTTCATGTTTGTTTGCTTTCTGTTCTCGGAAGCTTCAACTGCTATGGTTATTAATTCTGTATGTAGTGTGCATCATGTTTTCTGAAAAGTGGTTGTGTTCCTTTCTCGATGTAACGAGAAATTCGGTGCTTACATAATGTCGGTTTGTGGTGTTTCCACACCATGTATCTCAGTAAGAGAGCCACCACAATGGTTAAGCGTTTAATATTGTAATTCTAATATGTATTGTATGTTATTCTAATATATAATGTAATTTATTTTGGAAATTTTAGCCCAATGATAGGGACAACTAACCCCCGAAACTGAATCAAACCATGATTTGACCCAAAAAATTAAGAAAAGGAAAACGCATGCAATTGCACAAAAATTCATAAATTAGAACCAAACTGTATATATCCAAATAGTTCTTTTGGATAGCCAACACATTTATGAAAGTTCATGAATGCCGCATCCATAAAATTAATTTTGTAAGTAACTAAACCGTGCGAATTATATTTTATCCATTGTTTCCACCTAAGATGATACATTTAACGCGTGACATTGAAGCAAATGTGCAATACTTTCTAGAATATATTTAGTTATTACTCCATAAATATGAAGAGGAAAAAACCCCGTTTAGCAATCCATTAACTTATTTAATGATTACTTAGGAGAATCTTCTATTTCACCATTTTCTCACAAATTAAGTGGATCACGAATGGAGCAAATTTCAAAAGGTGCTTCCCAAAAATCTATAAGTTGATCATTGAACTGTAGCGAATGATGGTAATTTGGGCACCGTCTGCTCTGTTAGCGCTTGCACAAGGGCCGAGGCGGATGCGTCAGCAGCGCTACATGCGATGGTAGGCGTCGATTGGACGCGGCCCTGGGGAGCGCGCGTCGGCAGCGGCGCCCTCCGCAACGCCTGCAATCGATTCGCTTCCTTCGCCGCCTCTCGAGAGTCGATTCCCGGAGATGCATTATTTACGGAGCAATCGCAACGTGTTGGTTTACGGGATATGGTATGCTCATCCTGGCAATGTTAAATGTTTGAGTCTAAATATCAGAATCTATTTAAGTTTGGCTTCTGAAATTTTTACATGTTTCAAATACGTCACTTGTAATAACTCTGAAACAGCAGTTTTAAAAAATGTTTTCTATTTTTGTAGATAAAAATATTTTCTCATAATGCAATTTTTGTTTATCTCGTTTTCTAGTAAAATGAAATTCCCTAGAATGGATAATACTAAGTTAATCAGAAAATAATGTTTCAGTAAATGTAAAAGACATTTATTAACTACTGAAAATTTCATTTTCCTACTACAAATGTAAGCTGACAAAAAGACAATTTAGTATCAAAAATATTAAAATTCGGGAAATGGGCTTTGAAGATGCAACCCTCAGAACATTCCAGCTCGATAACGTGCATCAGAATAATCTTTTTTCAAGAACTAATTCCTTTTGACACATTTTTATGGTGGTGAGCATCACAACAATGTTTTCGATTTACATACTGCATATCTCATTTTTTCAGGGTTTATGTGCTGCATTATTTAACATTATCTAAATGCATTAGAAGCAGAACAAAAGTCCAATGAAAAAAAGACTTGTCATAGAAATAATCAAATAAATAGTTATAAGAATGACAACATCATATTTCAGACGCCAATTTAGATAAAAATATTATGGATATTTATGAAAAATAAAATGCCAAAAATTTATTTTTTTGACCCCAAAATCGTTCCATTTCCAATTGATGACTATTAGTTAAACCGGGCGCAAAGATTAGGCAATTTTTGAATCATGGTTTGAAGTGTAGAAAATAGCCACATTATTAGTTTACAACTTCGAACGGTGTAATACCCTGCACTATGCGTTACAACATTATGCCTCAGGAACTTTGTGTATTAGAACATTGTAAATCTGTGAAGCGTCGTGATTAAGTTGACACAATAGACAGTCATTTTTACAATTTTCAGACTGCGTTTGTTTTCGGCCACTCATTCTATGGTGTGAGGTTATCCATTAGAGCTTAACATCCAAAAATGTAAATAACATCAGAAATGCCTTATTTTAAAGATTGTCGCAAAGAAAACATAACTCTTGTTCCTAAGAACACGAAAACTTGGTTTTAGAAAGCCGTCACCGTTCGTTCGTTAGTTAAGATATGATAACGTGTTTCAGCATTTGGGGGCTAATTTACCTACATTTTTCTCTACATCAAAATTTATGATCTCTTGTTTTTTACCTTAGAATTGTTTGATGTAGCGCTTGAGAGTAATCCTCCGTTCAGAAGTGGCACTCTCACAATACCTTTTATTAATGGATTCTGAGTCAAAACCATAATATTTTCTTCGTATTGTCCTGATATCAAAACCTCACGTTTCTTTATGAAGTAAATTTCTATATATAAATCTCATTATTTTCTTAATACTCACGGTCAGAAATGTTTATTCTCTGGCATTCGAATTTTGAATAAAGTTACAAAGAAGTGAATAAAACGAAGCGTCAGTCTGGATGTCTTATCTGCAAGTTGATTTCCAATAATTTTTTTGAGCCACTAATACAATTTAAAAGACTACATTAATTACCAATATTTTATTAAAAATGTTTTAATTCTATAGTTTATTTTTAAAGAAATATATCTTTTAAAAAATGTGTTGTAGAGATACAGAATTGTGCATCTTTTGCATCTCTCGCAAAAGATGCCCAGGTTTTCGCAGATCACATGCAGATACCTTCCATGGCCCCTGGATGGATAGGCATCCCACCTTACGTAGGTGAATGGCTGAACAGTAGAAGCTTTTACCAGTAAATTTCCAAAATATACTTTCAAATGTGAACATTTCAAGGCGGATTCAGATTTCGCATTTAAATAATGTATTAATATATAATTAGAAAAGTACTATTGTCCCCATACATTTTAATTATACAAGAATACGTCAATGTGTATTTACACGTTCGTTCAAATCGTCTGTACGTTGGCTGAAAAGCTTCAGGTAATTGCCAATCTGAAGATGATATTACGTCAGATTTAAGCTTTATCACTGAATTTCCACTTGAATTAAAGTGACGTAAACATGGTTGCGTCGCTCTTGATTTGTACAAAAAGAAAAGAAGCATTTGCATTAGTAACCTTTTTTGTAATATGAGTGTGTATAAAAAGGTGCAATTTTTAGAAGACTTTTATACCAAAGTGAGAACAATGATTTTTGTAGGCAAAGAGTTTATCAGTGGATTGAAAAGTAGTCAAACAAGCAGCAAACATATATAGGAGGAAAAAAGAGAAAGACGTCCTTCTTCATCCATTGCTGCTCCCGATATTAAGCAAGTTATTAACGAAGTGACTAGCCATATGGATGTTAGTCAGATTCTTCTTATGAGAACGTGGATATGGATCGTTGAAAGACATTCCTTTATCCCGGATACAGTTTCAACGGTGGCTAGTTTAATTATAATTTGTTTGATCCAGTGGAAGATGCTTTAAGAGGCTGAAGACTCCGACCTGTAGATGAGGAAGCAGTCATACGAGTCCGTACGTGGCTTGTTGATCAATCGAAAATCCTTTTTATATAGATATAGGAAAACTGGTGCTGTGATAGATTAAGTACATTAAAAATTATGGTGTCTGTGTTTGAAAAATGATCTCATTGTAATCAGTTAATAACATTGGGGGCAAGTACTTATTGACTTACCCTCGTACATGATTTGAGAAGTAGGTAAATGTTAGTAAACAACAAATTAGAATTTCTTAGAATATACTAAAATAAAAGTAAGATTATTTAAAATTATTTAAAGTTAAATAAAATAATTTTTTGTGCATGAATGTACTTACACTATTGAATTGTACGCATGTAGGTTGACTGTATAAACGTCTACATAGTGCGTGCATGTTTTATTTCGAATACTTTTCAGCTGAACTTCTTTTATACCCATCAAATTTCCTAACAGACTCGTTCACAATTTTACTGAAATATCTGGCACTAGTTTAACAAGTTTCTTTAAAAAAAATATTCGTTACCACAGAGTTTGCAGGTGTACACCTGGACGTGAGAAAATGTAAGAAGAGGCAACTATCTTAAAGGTTGATTTGCGGTAAACTAAAGAGGTATATTGGCATTTAGGCAAAGAATATAAAGCACACCTGGGATGAAAATGTTGCGCAGTCTGAGCAATGTGAAACTAGACCAGTAACATGCACTCCGAATGAAACGCTGCGTCATTAAATACGCTCACTTTCTCAGTTTTGCATCTGTCCTTGGATATATGTACTTTTGATACATATTTTTATTGAATAATGGTTTTTACAAATTATCCTTTCTTTTATTTGGACTGAAAATCGCAGATATTTGATTATATTAATCCACAATTACTCGTCTTTGATGTTACGAAGACATTGTCGTACTCATTGCGACACAGCTGACGTCAAGTGAGAAGGAAAAAAAAGTTCGTAATTTCTAAAACAAGCCAATGTTTGATGCTCCAAAAGCTCATAATCAACATAATCATCACAGAATATTTCGTGTTGCATGCCATTAGTTCCCTTTTAAATGCATTTGATCAATTTCAATAGCGCAATAACACTCCAAGTAATTTAAAAAATTTGAAAAATAGTTTTGTGGAAAAGGCATAAGCGGACGGTGAGAGCGAAAGGTAATTTAGTTACCAGAAGTGCGAGGCGACTGTAGCATAGATGCCCATCAAAATTACTTTCATTTTACTCGCTACATAGAATTCATTGCTTTCCTGTCTAAAATAATGATTGCGATTAATAAATTCTGCACCAAAGCGGGTTTAATTTCACTAGTTAATTACTATGTATTAGGCAACATTTATACGCAGGACCAAATACGATAATGTTATGCTAAGTCACATTTGAATTGCTAGCGAAATCAATTAAATTTGATTTATGTGCCTAGGTACCCAATTTTTTAAGAGTTATTTTATGCGACGTTGAAGTGATAAGTGACATCCAACTAATTATATATTATCCTTAAAAAATTTAATTTTTATCGACATCACAATTGTGGCGAAACCAACATGAGCAGTTGGTTACGTTTTCTGACACGGCATAGCGCCATTCTCGAACACGAAACATATGGCGCCCTCTACCGGATTCATGCATCGTTCGTCGTGGTGGAAGGGAGCATGGGAGATGCTCTCTCATACGTAACCCATCCATCACCCTGTAGTGGCGCCCTCGTCCGCGAGATAGCGGTGGCGCGGTGCAGCGCAAGCGCCATCTGCAGGGGGCAGAGCGCAGCAGGTGAAAGTGCGAGGCGCAGAACCGTTTCCAAGAGCACGACCTCGGATCCTGTGGCCTAGTGAGAGTGATGGCGCGGGCTTCTTGCTCGTGTTTCAAGTGCGGTAGTCCTGCCGCCGTCGCCGCCGCACCCCTTTCCATAGCCTTCCCCCGCCCCCAACCCCCACACGGCTTCCACCTCCCCCGCCCCCAACGCCCTCGCCCCCCGCCCCCGCCTTCGCCCCGCCGCCCCCGCCGCCCCCACCGCCCGCCGCCCCGCCGCCCCACCCCCACCCCCACCGCCCCTTCCGTCCCCACCGACGCCCCCCCCCCATACCTCCGTGCTGACCCTGACACCCCCCCCGTTGCCACCACAGCGTCCCCATGACGCTACCACCACCGCTCTTGCTCCATCGACTTACATTCACTACCTCTCCACGCAGCCCCCGCCCGCCCTCTCCGCCGCCCCCGCGCCCCCGCCGCCCCCGCCCGCCCCCAGCCCGCCCCCGCCCCCCTTCCCCCGCCCCCGCCCCTGCCCGCCCCGCCACCCCACCGCCCCCCGCACCCCGCCACCCCACCGCCCCTCGCCGCCCCCACCGACGCCCTACCTCCCTGCTTACCCTTGACACCCCCCCCCGTTGCCACCACAGCGTCCCCATGACCTGACCACACCGCTCTTCCTCCATCGACTACATCACTACCTCTCCCACCAGCCCAACCGCCGCTACTATCTCCTCTCCGCTGCAGCGAGCACCTCCATTCTCTCTCTCTCGATCAAGATATCGATTCCTCACCGTGTTCACGTAATGCTCACGGTAACGAGTTGAGGGATTGCCGAGAACAGCTGTGTAAGATGCTTCCGTAATTTGTTAACAAGCTTGAAGGTGCTGTGCGCGCGCATGTGTTAGCATGTGCGCGGACTGGCGAATTTTGTAATACATTTTCCTTCCAGGAAATCGTGGTTTGGATGCTCAGGTGTCTGGCATTTTGGCAGTGTGAAATAGTGGTATTTTGTGGAGATAAGAGAAATGGAGAGTAGAATTGATTTCTAGAATAAATAAGTTTATTTGTTTTTTTTAATATCCCACTCGCAATGTTGTCAATTGAATAACTGTTTAGAATAACATATTGTGAATCGTTTACATTCAATACGAATGAACTAAGTACTATGCATATTCTTGCGAATTGCGTATTAGCGCAGTGTGCGAGCACTAAAGAATTCATTTTTTTTAAAGCCGTCTTTTTGATGTTCAAATTGCACAGAGTATTTTATTCTTCACAATTATTAACTTTTCTCCAATACGGATAATGAAACTTTGATTCAATACGAACTTTGAATGCATTTTGTGGTACACCCCGCGTCCTTTCTCTTCCTTGTCTTCTCCTCTCCCCTACATATGCATACACTTTCACTATCATGCACTAAACCACCACACACTGGGAGATCGGCCCGAAGCTTCTCTCGGCTGGAGCAATGCTCTACTGATGGGAGAATTCTCTCTCCCCTCGTTGGGAAAATTCCGTTAGCCGACGGTAGGTCTGTGCCGGATCTCACCACGCAGCGGGGGAAGATAGCCGCCACCTCGGAGCGAAACACTTAGGGGACTAGATGGGACTTGACGCGTACAAAATCACTAACAATCAATCATCCTCAATTTTCCACATCATCAGGTATCAATGGAAAATTAAAAAATCTTAGTAATCCATGTACGGCCAAAAAATCACAGATTTTTATTACTTAAATTCCTAGCGACATTGAACTGTACGTTAAATGGCTCTGGTTTGTATCGATATTTCTGAATGAGACTGTTAGAGCATTGAAACTCAATGAAGCTGACATTTAAAATAGTCAAATATGATGAGTTTGTTGAAATAACTAGAGTCTAGTAATAAACAATATAATTAGGTAATAATATTATCTTAGGACATATAACAGTTTTAGAGTATACAAAATTGTAATTGACGCATCTGAACTGACATTTGTACGAATAGATATTGGTTGTCAAAATGAAAGATGTGAGTGGTCTATGATAAGTATGTGGATGCCAAATGAGATACACAAAAAATGGTCCTGAATGTTACAGCAAGTTAATATATTGACATCTATGAGTAAAATTTACTTACCAAGTATTGTTAAGGAGCCTCAGTTCAGGGGAACCCCTGCATCTTTTATCTTAATAAAGGTATCAAGCGATACTGTAAATGTTGCATCAGTGTTTATTTCGTATTTCTGGAGTTTTTTAATAAACTTGTTAAGAAATATTGTTATTAATATTCTCCTACTTTGCGTTTTCCTCGTTCTCTGTCGCCTTATTAGATTTAATCATTAAAATGTTTTTTATTGGATGAATATTTAATTATTTTTTTCTTAACACAGACGTCTTCAAACTAGCAGAAGGAAAGTACGTTTTCGTGGAAAACTGACGTTCTGCAGTGTCCTGAACTTTATAGGCTTCGCAACTATAGTTAATTGTTCTATAGTACTTTACTACTTTTGTTCTAAATTAAACTCTCGTGTAAAACTATGCAAATATAGGAATACATACGTAGGAAAGATCTCCCGAAAACCAGTCTTGCTTCCTCCTTTTTTTAGAAACCTGGCTTGCAAGTAATTTATGAAAATCATGTACATTTTCTCCGGGGTTGTGATTCAAATTTGACTGATACAGAAGTTCTAAAATCATATTTAAATTCATTTGAGATAACTTCATCGAGGTATAAATTGAAAAGTGTTTACCTACTTAGTGTAGACATGCGGATAAACATAGCTGAAGGTGTAAATTATTACTTCATATAGAGATCATTTTTGTCGACTTTTTCGATGTTATATTTCAATTTATTAAAGAGTTTATATAGGCCTAAATATTTTTCGTGTTCTGTCGTTAGAAAGTGGCGTTTTGATCATTTATAACTTTCTCTGCTAAATACTTCACTTGTTGGTTACTGGAAAATCGTCTGCTCGAAATTATTAAGCTAGTAGTGAAGTTGATTCATAGTAATTCATGCCGTTGTCTACAACTTAATATTTTGCTTTCTCAGTGCACTCTCTACTAGCTCGTTTTTAAATTTAATTTTAATTAATGATTCATTTGGGCAACTGCGAAACTAACAAACTCTAATCTGATTACAATTAATTTTGAACAAAGAAATTAAATAAATTTATATTTACTTTGTAAATAAGCGATTCTCCATTCAAGAAAAGTTGACTGTTTACTATAAATATGTTACTAAATATATAATGTCAACTCACACCACAATAAGAGAAGGCTAGATTGAAAAGGATATTTGTGTTTAGGATGTAAATAACAAAATCATTATAAGTGGCATAAATATCATTAATTTATTTTTATGTACACAGCAATCTCCAACTCATAAGAATCACTTAACATTATTTTTCAGTGACAAAAGCATGAAAAATATAATAAATATCAACAAATATATTACACATCTTTTACTAGAACCTGAAAATATGGAATTTGTATCTACATATTAACAGCAATAAATACAAGATTTACAGAATTTGCATTACAACTTATATTCCAGTATCTTCAGGTAACCAAGAGCATAATATCAATTAGAGCACCATAAATAGTCAATGCAATGTTACTTTTAAAATTCACTAAAAAATCCAAAAAATCACAATTCTTACTGAGAGGAGATCACATGACTGAAAAGAATAACCCTTGTCATATCCGAGATCGTTCACACTAGATTTTTAGAAATCACTTACGCTTTTATATCGCAAAAGATTCTGTTTTTAAAATGTATTTAAAGGTTTCTTTATGAGTATATAAATATTTCAGAATGAATGTGAAGGAATCCACAAAAATATGTGTGCCTAAGAAACTAAAAGAGGGGTTAAAGCTATCAACAGTTTTTTTCAGTGGAAATAACTATATCCATTTTGATTCAATATTCGTAGGTTTTCATAACATTAATCTACCGACATATGGCGTAGAAATAAATAATTATATGATGAATGTAGATAATACATTGCAAACTAAATGTTTAAATGAATGAGAGTAGAGAGATCTGTGCTTCCTTGTGAGGAAAAAATACTGACCTCCTTCCATCTTATCGCAGCCATTTGCTGTTTTGTACCTTTATTTCTGTGTGAGAAGTTCAGCGCTCTAACCCTTTTTATGTTTAGATCCACAGTTCTTGGTTGGAAGGGCGTAAGTGGTCTCTCGCAGTCTTCGTTTAGTAGGGTCTGAGGTCGTCTCCAACTGCGTTAGCCGGGCGACCGGAGGGGTAGCCTTCCTCTCCACCCTGCTGGTTGCCAGAGTACCCATTCTGTTGTTGCTGGCCGTTGCGGCGGTTGTAACCGGCCTGCTGCTGCTGCTGCTGCTGGCCGTTACGACTCGGGTAGCCACTCTGTTGCTGTTGTCCATTGCGACTAGTGTAATCTGCCTGCTGCTGGCCGCTGCTCGGGTAGCCGACTTGCTGCTCACTGCGGTCTGGGTAGCCAGCCTGCTGCTGACCGTTCCGTCCAGGGTAACCAGCTTGCTGTTGACCGTTGCGACCGGGGTAACCAGCCTGTTGTTGGCCGTTGCGTCCTGGGTATCCAGTCTGTTGTTGACCATTGCCGCTCGAATATCCAGTTTGCTGTTGACTATTGCGTCCAGGATAACCAGCCTGCTGTTGTTCGGCAGCCTGTTGCTGGCCATTGCGACCAGTGTAACCAGATTGTTGCTGGCCATTGCGACCAGTGTAACCAGATTGTTGCTGGCCATTGCGTCCAGTGTAAGCAGACTGTTGCTGGCCACGGGCGGGGTAACCAGTTTGTTGCGGGCTGCTAGCTGCAGAGTCGCCTTCCTGTCCACTGGCAGATGCAGGGTATCCTTGTTCGCTTTGCAGCTGGCTGCTGGCGCCGGGGTAACCTCCTTGTTGCTGGGCGCTAGAGCCAGGGTAGCCACCTTGAAGTTGCCCACTAGCGCCAGAGTACCCTCCGGACTGCTGCCCACCGAAACTTCCTTGTTGCTGCTGGTTGCTGGCAGATGTGAAACCACCCTGCTGGCCACCAAAAGTTCCTTGGTCCTGAAAGAAGTCATTTAGTACATTTATTATCCATAATATTTTATATCGGCGTTCTGGTATTTTCTTAAAATGTTTACCACATTATAAAATCTTACCTTATATTAATAGTAATTATTTATGCGACAATTATTCATTTAAATAATAGACCATTGAAATTGACTTTAAGATTAGTTTGAGAGCACTTGGATACAAATGGTAGTGTTACTTCCAGCGTCTCGTTGAGTATCGAACATTTTTTGGAGCTGCTAAAATATGAAACTGTTGAAATTATTCTTGGTCATTTTTATTTCAAAAGAATATTTAAATAAACTAATATTGTTTGAGAATTGTTTGCATAATTGAAGAATATAATTTTCGCAGTATTGGGGTTTATTCTTTTAAAAAATAACGTATTTATTCAGCTCGTGAATGCAGTAATATTTCTTTATCTATCGATGAAAATTCTTTCTACTAAGAATTGTGAAATATTTCCAAAATATGTTTTTCATTATCATCTCAAGTGTTAATGTCGTGTTAATTAGTGTCGTGTAATTAAGTTTTAAAGCTGCAGAACCCACAAACTGAGGATTATTATTTTTCATTTCACGTTTTGGTAGCTCAGAGTGATCTGGCCTGGCCGGGGCGAGACTTGGCCGTCTCATCGCCAGGAGATGGCCTGTGTGTTACCTGGAGGGCCGCGCCGGCGGCCGCGCCGCCGGGGTAGACGCCCGCCGCGGCGCCGGGGTTGCCGAGGAAGGGCTCGCGGCCGGTCTCCTCGTAGCGGATGTTCGGGCGGAAGCCCTCCAGGTCGGCCTCGTACTCCACCACCTGGCGGCGGCCGTCGGGCAGCAGCACGTGGAACTCGCCCTGCGCCAGGTCGCCTTGGCGGCTCTCGCGGTGGCCGAATTCGCTGCCGGCGCCGTCGTTCACCTCGTACTGGAACTCGTAGTTGGCGGGCTCCTGCGCACGCACACACGCACACGGATTCAGTAGTGCATACTCTTTTAAGGAATATTAATGTAGTAGTAATAATTGCTTTGCAACAGTGTATTCTACGCAAACATCCCAGATGTTTTCGCTTTTACATCTAATAAAAATAATAATATTATTATTATTATTATTATTATTATTATTATTATTATTATTATTATTATTAAGAAGAAGAAGAAGAAGAAGAAAGACTATACTAATCCTTTTGGGAAAAGGCCTCCTGCATCAAAACAACGTACACATCAGATGAACTACTTCTAAAGACCACTATTGTTAACCACTATTTCTCTGCTTCAGTGTAAAACGCTTGTCAAAATTTAAGATTAACATTAAATGTTATCCTTCTAATTATTCTTTTAGAATTCTCCATAAACTCAACCCCCAAACAGGATTCCACCAAAATGCATTTAATGTTCTCTGGTTCTCCTCACTCTCTCCTGATATACTGTTCCTCCCTTCATACATCCTGAACATGTTTTCCTACTGTTTTAATTTTTGCACGCTATTTTCATTTTTTAAATCAGGCGCCTACCAACCGCAGACATTTTTCTGCAATACATGCAAACACAAATATTAGCCATTTAGTGCCTTTAATTAAAAGGTTCGTGTTCGAGACTCATCTTTTACGTTTTGTTTGTGTAGTCGTTATTCGTGTACTCTATGGATTTCGGGAAATTCAGTAAGATAATAAACAAATACATCGTTAAACCTACTCTTCTTGAATATCAACGCCTTACTGCATAAGAAAAAAAGAATACACGTAGGACGATAAAAATGTAAAATGGTACGTTTGCTTTAGTACTATGAGAATTAATACAAAATTCGAATATCTATTCCGTAACGGAATTCCCATATCTAATTTTATGCGTCTTCTTCATACTATATTTTTAGTCTCTAATGTTAATAAGCATTACCTAAATAATTATTTTTAAAAAATATACTGTAATATTTTGAATTAATTTTATTTTGAAAGTTAGATTCTTTAGTGTATAAGACGTAATCTGTGGAAAATGTATACATGCACCATAATAGTTGGTTTCAATTAGTGATTAATGATTGTGAAATATCAATTGAAAGTATATGTTTTACTTCGATTGGACATCATAACTCAGAACAATTGTAAATATCTGCATTAAACATTGAGTGTTACAAAGATCGAATGTAAAATGTTACTGCTATAATATCCGTGGCGAGCGAAATAATTTATTCTCCCACGTTTAATATTCCAGTACAACACTTACCTGCCTTAATCATGTACAAACAGCTTATTTGCCTCACACGCACATGGTATGAATTGCCCAGTTTTATTCGGATGTTTACTGACCTGTGGATACAGTCGCAGTTCATTTCACATTGGTTGGATATGAACGTTAATGTATGCAAAGTACTGCACATGGCGTTGTAAGCGTAAGTAGTTGAAGTGACGAAACTCCAGTTGACTTGAAGTAATACGGTGTTGGGTAAGTGCGAAAAGAAATTATGTAACTTCTGATTCCCACAGGATGTGTCGCATCACTGACATATTGAAGAACAGCTAGCCATTCTTAGTTCTTTGTAGTTACTTTTATTCTTGCTTACTTTTTTTATTTGAAATTTTACCATTATCTAGTAACATATTATGTGGAGTTGTAAATTCGTCTTGCATGGTAAAATTTTAATCGCGCTAGTCGACGTGATATAAACAAAAAATATTCTTAATATTATCTGCTTTTAAGACCAAATAATGCTATACAGGCATCTACTACTAGATATAGCGTCCCTACACAATATCTGTAGAGAGTAATAAAAATAATATAGTGGTAAAATGGAATGAGAAGAAAAATTTTCAAAATACTATGTACTCTCGTAGGGAAATCTACTATCAGATTGGCAGGACTTTGAAATGATATTTATCTAGTATGGAGTCCCGATATTGACTGCTTCCAAATATATTCCAGAAAATATGTGAACTTATTAATAAACTACTTATTATCTACTATGATTTAAGAAATTATCATTGAGACGTTGCTTCATTAACTTACATTTAATGAAAAGTGAACGTGTTTATGAAATTGAGTAACACCACTTTTCGAAATTACTTCTCTACAATTTTTAAGTTTCCTTTTACACATTACCACACGCTAATAATCGATAACAATGTCTAATAACAACGTTATTACATTTTCACCTTTCTCATATATTTCCCGAGGTAAAGTGATATGAAGTACTCGAACCTTCGAGTTATCCTATGCCTTCAAAATGTTCCCTTTTGCAACTCACATCTTGTTATAAACTGCATACTTATTTCTTATTGAGTGTCAAGGAAGTAGTTGCAAGGTCGGAAATGGGATATGACTTCAAGTGTCGTGAGAAACACAAAGAGTTCACAACCCTATATTCATTACTCTTATGATATAAGTAGATTAGATAATGATAATGGGTGTTATTTTCCACAAGTATTTTATGAATATCTGGATATTTACAGTATGGCAACAACCGTACAAAATGCAGCTACAAGTCGTATTTTAAATCTCAGTGCAGATGTATCCATATCTTAACTATAGTATTTGTATTATCCTCTGAATATGTGGATTCATGGATTTCATGGACAATCCAATAAAAAATTAATTTCCACTTCTTAAAGTATATATGCCTTTAATTATTTATTCCATATTAATCTTGCCGATGTTGCTGATGGAGATTCTCTTTAAACTGTCATAATTTCTGAAAAGTACGTGCTGATATGCTATGTTCTATTAATTAACAGTTTCATGGTACGGAATGAAATTTTTAAGCATGTTAATTTAAAAAAATATTAAATTCTAAGAGCGTCATTTAAAACGAAGAGTATTTCAACCCGGATGAAACCCCAAACAGGTGACAATTTCATATAAATAATACCACTTCATAATACAAAAAAAATACCTTCAGTGCTCTGACTTTCTTAAGGAAACCAACTCCTACTTCCCTGATCTTTCCAAACGGCTGATCATATCGTTCGTAAATTTTCTCACTTTTCAACAATAATCTGGGTCCACTTCATACCTTCTGTGCCTCAGTAAAAAGGGAGATCCTGGTCAAAATAGTGATATGCCAAAAGTAATACGCAACCCCATTCTGTCTTTTGAGCCCTTAAGCATTTGTATTGATGGACAAAATTAGAACATTTGGGAATTCAAGTGTATTTGTATTCAACTGAAAAGGAGATATTTTCTGAAGTTTCAAGAACGACTAATATTTGAACAAGCATAAGTCCAAAGGCTTATCGTTCCCCGACAAAATGAACATGTGCCAAATACAGGGGATATACGACGTAACTCCAAGGGCGGTTTTGCGATTTTAAATGTCGATGATTCTGTTCTTATTTCAATTTCAATGTGAAAGATTTTGAAACGCTCAATTAATGGTCAATCTTCTATGAAATAAAAAATGGTTTTGAAGTACTGCATTGAACTATCATTCAAATATTAGACGGGGTATTTCATTTATTTGAAAATTTTACTTTCAAATGAAGTTGTATTCTCATATTGTAAGAAACTAGGTTATAGTTGTGCCACCCGAAATAAAACCTGACATAATTTCGAACAAGTTATCCATGCAGTGACAAAGCTACAAATTTTATGAACAGCACAAGTATAGCCCATATTAATACAAAATTAATACAAACGCTCTAGTTGACCCTTAAGTTAAAATTTACGTAAATATATATTTTTGCAACTCAAACATTTTAAGTGCTGTTTAATAAAACATCATAAGCTACAAAATCGTGTCAAAACCTCAAACGCCTTTCCGTGTTTTCCTGCTAAACGAAACGAATTCCCATCGCCTGGGAGGCAGCTCTGTCCCGCGACAAAGGCCCCGGCCTTATGCAAGTGCTACAAGCAGCGCGGGCGCGGGGGTGGGCGCGGGGTGTTTTTACGGCTGCGCTGACGAGACCTCGGCGCCGCACGGAATGTCTTTACGGTGCGGCATCCGCTCCGAGAGAGCCTCGCGTGCCTGCCGGTCGGCGGGTGGCGTAGCGGCGGTGGGCAATGTAGCGGGCGGAGAGCGGGCGGTGCGGGCCGGTTGGCGGCGGGGCGAGTAGCAAGCGGGATGGGCTGGAGGGAATAGGTGTGAACGGGCCAGGCGGGCCGGGCGGGAGGCGGGCAGTTGGGGCGAGCAGGCGGATTGGGGGGAGCAGGATTTGGGGGAGGCAGGCGGTTGGGGAGCAGGCGGTGGGGAGCAGACGGTTGGGCGGTGGTCGGCGGGTGGTCGAGCGGGTGGCTCCGAGCGGGAGTGATCGAGCGGGTGGTCGAGCGGGTGGTCGAGGCGGGTGCTCGAGCGGGTGTCGAGCGGGAGTGGTCGGCGGGTGGTTCAGCGGGTGGTCGAGCGGGTGGTCGAGGCGGGTGGTCGAAGCGGGTGGTCGAGCGGGTGATCGAGCGGGTGGTCGAGCGTGGTTTGGTCGAGCTGTCGGCGCGGCTGGCGGGAAGACGGTGGTGATGAGCGGGTGAGGATGGCGCGTGGGTTGAGCGGTCTGGGGGCGGGTGGAGCGGGCGACGCGGACGGACGGGCAGAACAATGAGCGAGCAGGCGGCGGCGCGCAGGCAGTCAGGCAGGTAGGCACGCGACTCACGTGGGCGAGGAGCCGCAGAACGCGCCCCTGAGGCGCCGCGGCGCAACGCCGGGGAGGAAGGAAGGTCGCTGGCGCGCGGGCCAGGCGCGCGGGGTCAACTGCCGGAACAACACAGTGAATGGATACGAAAATACAACAGCATGTACTTTCTCGCGTTATATTAGACGCTTACGTAGGATAATATTATAATACTACTTCATCTCGAAAAAACATTTGCCCACACTGGGCTCTAAGAATCATATATACCACGACCTAAATGAATATAGAGGTTGTGGCAGAAAAATTATGCTCCTTTGAACTCAGGTACTTCTTGGGTTTGGCATGTATTTTTTTTAAATCGTTAGACAAAACGGCATAGTCAGTACAGAAACCATTCCGACGCCTAAAATTTTGAACATCTGTATTTATCAAAGTTTTATGTGTTTCATGAAAACTGGGAAACTTCCAAAAAAAAAATTCATATACTATTTACAATTTGTCCCTATTTCAGTCAAAACTACACAAAA